CTTTAAGTTCTCGAAAATAAATAGTTTTAAACGGCTAAAGGAAATGTAACCGTATAATAACGATTTTCGCTGTTTTTATTTAAAATAATCGCTCTTGATAACTTATAAATCTTGTTTTAATACTTTTTCTTCGCTACATAATTTGTAATAATATTTTTCAAAATGGTTTTATATTAGTTCAACTCTTAGGGTTGGTTTTTCAATCCTCAGCTATTTGTTGAACGAAAGACGTTATATTTAAATAAAACTAGTTTTTACGGATTTTATCGCGTATATTAACTTATTTTATATTCACGACGTTTCCAGCACTTTACGGTAACCATGGTTACGGGGAGACTGAGGTGTTCGATGTCGAAATCCCAATGTCATAGTTAACCAGATTAAAGTATAAATTTTCGTTACGAGCTACGCAGTATGAATTTATAGTATCTTGAAGTCTTGAAGTTGTATGCTTGGGTTGGGATTTTTTTTAAATAACAGATTAATAAAAGATGTTTTTATTTCAATATCCTCACGAATCATCCTTGGAAGGAATCGATGTTCTTTAGTGAGGATTTATGACCTATCAAATCTGATGTATGCATATTGTGAAATTTAAATCGAACGCTCAATCTCTGAGCTATCACGGCCAACCCTGAATGCTAAAAGCAAATTAATGTTGGCCGGTGCAAAACATCTTAACACGTTTTATATCTGTGAGAAATACTTGTACAAAAACCTTCTGAAGCAGATAGAACAGATACAGAAGTGGAGTGGAAGTTTAGTACATACAATAAAAATTGTGTAGACAAAGTTTCAAAAACTCATCAAAAAAGAGTTCACAAGTTCGGTTCCGTCCAAACCACTCTACGGTTGCATTGAACTAGCTTCATGATGCGAAACAAAGCACAACATAAAGTTTAAAATAATAAAGAAATTATGATATTTATCAATTTAATTGTGATAAAAATGAATAATGATTAAATTTTAAAGATAAGTACCCGGTTGACCGAGCTTTGCTCGGTATTTTCCGCTCGGTTTTTTTAATTCGTGTGTTTTGGAAATTATATTCAGGTACAAATTACATACTGATGAAATACGAATAATATTTTTTGATCTTAGCGACATAATAGATAAAACTGAACTGGTTATTTGAATAAGAAATCATGAGTGCAATTAGTTTAATTTAAATTTTCGTTTTAAAAAATACTAAAAAGAGTGCTCGAAAAAATAGATTTTCTCAAAAAAAGAAAGGAACTTGAAAAAAAAAATTTAAAAAAGTCGGTCGGCCGGTCTGGGCTCGAACCATAGTATTACGATTTTGTAACCGCCCAATATACCAATTAAGCTATTTGTAATCATCAATAAATTTTCAAAATTTACCTTCATATTCTAACGTTATTGTAGCAGTTTTTCATTGCCTAAAAACATGGACAAAAAGACATTTTCTAAAAAATAAATCCTAGCTAGATCGATTTATTGCCCCCGAAACTCCCCGCACACAAAATTTTATGGAAATCGTTGGAGCCGTTTCCGAGATTCCGATTATATATATACAAGAATTGCTCGTTTAAAGGTATAGGATTCTTTTAAAGTTTTTTTTGTTAACGTTTTTGAAATGGTTTTGAAGAATATCTAACAGCAAATTTTTGCACTAAAGACACTAAAAGGGCACGACATTTATTTTATTTATTTATTTAGTTAATTTACACATAACTTAAACTAAATACATTAAGTGACAGTGTGACATAAACCAGCATTGGTTTTACCGCACACTGCGATTCGACATCTGTCGCTCGAACAGAACTAAGTAATAGGTATTCATTCTTCACTACCTACTTACACATTAATTGCGCGATGTGATTACTGCGCACGCTATTTGACCAATCAACACGCATAACACATATTATGCACCTCTAACTCCAAAAGCCAGAGTAACTCGTTTGGGTTTGTAGATTCACACGGGTGACATTGTTTGTACAATTTTTTTTTTATATTTTACGCTAGTAATGCTAAAGATAAGTAGTGCTGTTTAAGTTTATTTTTGATGTTTACTTTAGTAATTTGGCCTTTAACTGTTGTAGGTAACTCGTTTATCAATTTTGGTATTAGGTATTGTAACATTGCTTTTCCGTATAAATTTTTATAGCTCGGTAAATTAAGAATTGCATTAGAGGCACTTCTTGTTTTACTGCTGCGGTAGGTAAATGTTTTAAAACTGTCAGTAAAGAAATGATCGCAGAGCAGTATATATTTCACTTTGTCGTATATAGGTATGGTGTTGCAGTGATAAAAAAGTTGGTGGTAATTATTTTTGTATTTGTTTTTTATATTCGTAGGCACGATGGTTTTTAAAAGTCTGACTTGGAGATTATATATTTGATCAAGATGTGATTTGCTAGTTCTGCCATAACTACTAAGACCATAATGTATAGTGGTCTCCACCAAGGCCTTGTATAAAAGTAAGAGCGTGGGAAAGGGAATTTTATTCTTAATAAGTCCGAATTTAGCCAGCATTGCACGTACTTTATCACAAACATGGTTTATATGTTCTGTCCATTTAAGACGATTATCGATTACTAACCCTAGGTACTTTTGTTTGTTGATAATCTCCACAGGAGCACAAGAACAGTTAGCCAAATCGCTATGAAGACAGTTATGGTTATGCGCGATTAGTTTGAGGCTATAGGGTTTTCTATTTTGACTTGAGCTTACGTACATGAGTTTCGTTTTGTCCGCATTAAGAACAAGGCCTGCATCGTGCGACCATTTTGTCAATTGCGTAAAGTCACTTTGTAGTTTTTTAAGAGCAAGATTAATATCCCTGTCTGCGGCTACAAGACACGTGTCATCAGCGAATTGGTATATTTCACAGTTTTTGACAATATTAACTACATCGTTGACGTAGGTGATATAGTGGAGTGGTCCAAGTACCGAGCCTTGTGCCGTTCCTTCAGAAGTTTTAATTTTCATACTGAGAGTGTTCCTGATCTTTACCACAAATGACCTATCCTCAAGATAGTTCTTACACCATTTGTTCAGAGGGCCTTGTATCCCACAGTCGTTTAACTTCGCAAGTAGGGTATCATGATTTAATGTATCAAAGGCCTTACTGTAATCTATGAATACTATAAGAATATGTTTTTTGTCATTAAGGTGCTTGTATATTCTGTCAGTGAATTGGGATAGAAGCTGTGTTGTACTCTTTTTTGGTTGAAATCCGTATTGTTTGTTAGTGATAATGTTATTATTTGTATAAAACGTCTGAATTTGTTTCGCAATGGCTTTTTCAACTATTTTGTCAATAGCGGAGAGAATAGTTATTGGGCGATAGTTTTCATAGATGTTATGGCTTCCTTTCTTGTGTATTGGCCTAACTATTCCCGTTTTCAACTCATTAGGATACTTACCTTGTCTAACGGTTTCGTTTATAAAATGAGCAATGACGTTTAGCTATTTTAATCCCAATGGTCTTTAGGTCCTGCGCTCTAATCTTATCAATTCCCGATGCCTTAGTGCTATTTATGGATTTTATTTCTTTGAGAGTTGATTTTGCTGTCAATTTTTGAAAGCGACAAGATACTTTAGGAACATCTGCATAAGTTTCCCTATCTAAAAGCTTTATATTACATTTTGGCATATTTTTAACACTATTTTTAAAACATAAAGCAAAGTTGTTGGTCAAATCATAAATCGAGGTATTATTTTTTTCGAGTGCATTGGTAATAATCGTATCAGCTAATATTTTTGTCCTTCCAGTGAGTTCATTTAATATTTGCCACAGTACTCTGGGGTTGTTTTTATAGTTTGTGATGTCTTGACGTAGTTTTTGATTTTTACACTTCCAGATTAATTTATTTGCAAAATTCCTTGATGTGTTATATTGCAGTTTTAAAATTTTATTGGATGGGTCGGCTATCCATTTTTTAAATAATTTATCCCGGTATTCACAAGCTTTTAAGATCTTATTATTTATCCATTTGTTATTATGACGATTTTTATTATTTGATGTTTTTATTTTAACAGTTGAGTTTTCGTAACATTTGTGTATGTTATTAATTATAAGTTCATATATTTTGTATGGACATATAGTTTGCTTGGCAGGCTTCCAATCTATTTCGTTTAGACTTTTTATTAGTTTTTTATTGTCGTAGCGTATGATATACTTAGAATCCTCCCGTGTGAATCGATTCATTATAGCGGTAACTGCAAGCGCAACAGCGCGGTGATCGGCCAGAGCAGTTCCCAGTGCCGCCGTGTACACGTCTAGTGAGCGGGATCGTGCGTATATGTGGTCTATGCAAGATTTACTAAGTCCATTTTTTGTTAACTCAATGCGTGTGTACTCGTTGATTCCGCACACTAGACCATGGGTGTACATAGTAGTGTTATAAATTTCTTTAATGGGCCTACTTGAGCGTAGATCTATGTTGATATCACCTAAGATATACAGGTCTTCTAGTCGTGGAACTTTACATAATAGTGTGTCAAGTTCCTTAACAAACAGGTGCTTACTGCTACCGGGTGGACGATAGATGCAACACAGGACAGCGGAATAGCGTGTAGGCGTGTATATTGTTCCTAATAAGCTTTCGCAGTGTTGTGTTTTGTAATGTTTAATTTTAAATTTGTGTTTATTATTTATGTAGATAATTACGCCACCGCCTTTTTGGCCTTTTCGCAGTCCTGTGTGCATCACATAGCCTTTTATTTGGTATATGTTACTGAGTGAATCAGAAATATTAACTTCCGTTAACATAATTACATCAATAACCATAGATGAAGACATAATACATTGCTCAAGTGAATCAAAGTTTTTTATGACAGATCTTATATTCATATGTATGCAGAGGAGTTCTATGTTATAAGGGATTTTATCTAAAAATGTGTTTATGTCTACACAGTCTGTAAGTTGATATACATCTTCAGGTGTGGTATCCATAGTAGTGTTCGAAGAAACGATATTATATAGTAAACAGAGAAGCGAAAAAAAAAAAAAAAAACAGGCTCAATACACAAATTTAAGAGGTACTTAGCTTAACTCTTTTGACATCATCCGCTGAACGTATTATAATTGGTTTCTGGCTTTCTCCTGCCCGGCGTACACGCAGAACACCTTTCTTAATCCATATGTACCGAAATGAGTTCTTGAGCTCCTGTTTGGCATAGTACAGTAGTTGCTTGTTGTATTGCGTTAGGGCTTCGCATATGAATATTGCTGTATTTACATTTAAAGAGTGGTGGTGTGAGCATATTTCTTGAGCTGTAATTCTGGGGCTTATCGATTTCGAAGCAGCTAGCCATTCTAATTGTGTTTGCTCACTATTCAGTTCAATCATGACCGGTCCTGGTCGATCATTTTTACTGGGCAGTCGTTTCATTTGCTTAACATTGCATGCATTTTGATTAAGCCTTATTGCCACTTTACCTACAATTTCTGGTAGGTTCTCGTTTTCAATGTACGGGATATTGTGGATTTCAATGTTTTTATGTAGCCTTTGTTGTTCTATTTCTTGAATGCGCTGTTCTAGCGCACCTACCCGCGTTTCTAGGTTATTATTTTTATTGGTAAGTTCTGTGTTTTTCTTTTGTAGATTAGAAATATTGTCTTGCATAATTTCTATGTTTTTAAGCAGTTCGTCCATTTTATCTGATTGAAATTGGAGTGATTGAGTGAGGTCTTTCATTTCCTTTTTTATGGCTCTTTCTACCTCTTTAGATATATCACCCAGCAGTTTTTTAACGTCGATCTGTATAGTGGGAGACTCAGAGTAATGTTCGTCGTCTTCGTCATCATTAGGAATCACTATTGAGCTACGTCGGGGTGTCTTTTCTTGGCAGTCTTGACAATTCCACTCTAGGTTTTCGGAAGCCTTCAGTGCAGCCAGTTGCTTATTGGTAAGTCCAGTGCATTGATTGTTAAGATGAACTAGTTTTTCGCAGCGATTGCATTCTAGGCCCGGTTTAGATTTCGTAATGTTTTTGCTGCAGTAATCACATTTGTTCAACATATTGGGTTTTAGAAGGTAGTTATCGCACACAAGATAAACTTCACAACACACGCGTGTTACGTAGGAGCGAGCGATGAGGAATGACATGAACATTAGACATGATTGTTAAAATATAGAAATAATCATATACTTTCAAACTTAATATGTTACATCTTATGTACCTCAAACCTTGAAAACAAGATTGCACAACCAGTGCGTGTTGACAATGGTGACATATGGATCTGAGACAGGATTTTTAACTGCTGGCCGTATGATGAAGATTATAGACAATCAGAAAGCCTATAAAAAGAGCTTTGCTCAGAGTTTCTCTGCTTGCGTTTCGTCTAGTCTAAGATGAAGCTCGCTGCGAACTTCAAGCAATCCTAGGTAAGCGATTACAATCACAAAGTATACTTCTAATTTACAAATCCATGATAAGCAATTTGATCCGGATTAAAAAAATATCTATTTCCTAGAATAGTAAATTAAGTAAGTAAAATAAAACAAATGTTTTAAAGACCAAATTTTCAAGGGGGCCAGTGTCAACGAGAACTAGCCACCCGCGCAAAACTGCAATATATTGCATGATCACATGTACACTCTCCGTTCCGTCACTCTCATGATCAGATAGGATAGCAATAAAGTTATGGTTGTAGCACGAATGGTTCAGCTCGACCGGGGCAGGACTACGCTCTCACAGAGTACATCAAATAGCATCTTAGTGCTGCTGTGTTTCCAGACCCTTTTTATTACAAACAAGGCATTCCATTTTAGTACTCAGGGGTGGCAACGCATCTAAATTTTGATTTGTAATCGAGGATTGATGTAGATTTCTACGGGCTAAAGCACCCATTTACTATCAGGAGGGCGGTGTGCCCGTATTTCACCATTATTCTATAAAAAAATCCTTCAAGACTAGGAAGCACCGAGAAACACCGCAGCTTCCTGATTCCGGTCTGCTACCGAGAACTCTTTACTGTAAACCCTAATAACTGATTTTTTGGCCCAAGCTGGGATTCGAAACGGGAACCACATGATCAACAGTCGCACTTACCAACACTACACCAACGAGACAGTCAAAATTTTAGAATATAACGTTATAACATTTAGATAGATGTACATACTTCTTAATTTATTCGTAATGCTGCTTTCAGATGCAACGTTACACCTGGGAGCACGGTAGTGCCCCCGCCAAGTCGAGCAAAAAAGCGGCACGGCCGTAACATACTTTTCTCGAAGCAATTTGGGCTATTTTCGACCCCCTATAACTTCGTAGAGGATAAAACTAGAAGCCTGAACTTTCAGTAACCGAGTATACATTGTATAAACATGTATTTATAACAAAAATATATTTCAAATTTTATTCAATTTGAACCAGTAGTTTAAGAAGTATAACTAGTGATAGTTTCTTAATTTTATCACTCATTAACTGACCGATCATCAAAACTCTAAGGCACTTCTAGCAGACATAGAAGCTTCAAATTTAGAATACAATTAGTGTTTAGTGTATAAATCAAGGATAAATTAAAATATTTTTTAATTTCGGTCCAGTTTTCTAGATACACCAACTGCATAAATAACTTTGTAATCCCATATAAATATATAGAATTACAAAGTTACATTTGCAGTGAGTTAATCAGTGTACTTGTATATGTATAATAGGTGCAGATAAGTACGTTGCTAGTACTCAAGAAGTAGAAGGTACCGGAAAAGAAAAAAGTAGGACTATCTTATCTACAAAAAGAAATGAGACGCCATCAAAAACATAACTTGTAAAAAAAACAATCCTCGCAACTCAGTTCTTTTACCTTAAAAAGTTGTGAGATCCATTTAATATCAAGTTGGTTAATTTATTCAGTCCCTACTTAAGAGTGCTTCTGTTTTAAGTTATTACGTAATTAGCTAACCTAACAACATTTTATAGTGACCATATCAATGTTAAAAATCCTATATCTTGAATTTGATTGCACTAAGCAATCTAATTTATTCTAATATTACTTGTGAGATAAATTGTGTTTTCTTGCGATGGCCAAATCAATCTATATATTTAAAACTATAAAATCACAAAATGTTGTTAGGTTAGCTAATTACATAATAACTTAGAAGGTCCCTTAAGTAGGGACTGAATAAATTAACCGACTTGGTATTAAATGGATCTCACAACTTTTTAAGGTAGAAGAACTAACTGAGTTGCGAGACTTGGTTTTTTTACAAGTTATGTTTTTGGTGGCATGATCGTTTTCTCCAAAAAAAAGATTAGTGTATCACACACAACCATTCTACGGATTAATCCATAGATAATCTGCTTAATGAACAACACATCCAATTGTTAAGCGGAAAAAAAACAAGTCTATCTATGTTAAGTTCATAAGATAAGAATAGCTAAACAAGACGAATGACCTACTTATATGCTATTGACAAAGTAGGCCAAGTGCACAGACAGCAGATTATAAAGTACCTCAATAAAGATAGTATATCAATAACACTACTTAAATATTGATTGTAATAACTATTAACAGTGAGAACTGATTGCCTCGTTGGTCTAGTGGTTGCAAACGCGACTATTGATTAAGAAGTCCCGGGTTCGAATCGAGGGTCGGGCCAAAAAAATCAGTTATTGAGTTTATCTGTCAAGAAATTCTTAGTAGATGCCCGGAGTCAGGAAGTTGGCAGTGTCCACCCCGTGCTCATAAAACACGTACAGCCGTTGGTCCTGCGCCTGATCTCTCTCCGGTCGTGTCCCATCAGACTATGAGATTGAGGAAATAGAGAGTACACCTGTACTTGCGCATACACTTGGGCCCTATAATCATGTTCTGGGCCGATTGCTATTCTTCGTTATTGTAGAATTGCCGTTTTATAAAATGTTGTTAGGTTAGCTAATTACGTAATAACTTAAAACAGAAGGACTCTTAAGTAGGGACTGAATAAATTAACCAACTTGATATTAAATGAATCTCACAACTTTTTAAGGTTACAAGTTATGTTTTTGATGGCGTCTCATTTCTTTTTGTAGATAAGATAGTCCTACTTTTTTCTTTTCCGGTACCTTCTACTTCTTGAGTACTAACAACGTACGTATCTGCACCTATTATACATATACAAGTACACCGATTAACTCACTGCAAATGTTTCACTGATTAACTTACCATCAGGTGGACTGTGTGCTCGTTTGACATCCTATCCTATAAAAAAAGAACTAGATAAGTGTGTGGTACCGACCCAGCCGGACTCCAAGACAGATATAGAGTATTAAAAATATTTAAAGAATGAGAGCTAATAATCTTTCGCTCACCAGATGTCGCTTTTTGGGACTGAGGTAATTTTTTTCTCTCGGTTTTAAATAATTTTTATCAGTTTTTAGAGATATTAATACACAGAACAGTGCCTTGCTCTTTTATATTTTGCACATATTTAAACTCTACTTCTACTTTTCGAAATATTCGCAGATTGATTTATTCGTTTCTACAGGTTCTACTATTCACAGGAGGGTAAGTTGAGCTTTACATTTTCCTATCAAATAAACTTCCCCGCTATGGAATCTGACAAATATTTTACCTCATTCGAAAGTAGCGCCTATAATATATTAAAATAAAATTTAAAAGAAGAAGAAGAAAAAGAAGAAAGAAATTGGTCACGTAGAAAGAATGAATGAGGAAAGAGTGACAAAGCAAATTTATATGGCAGATGTGAACGGCAGAGTCGGGAAGGGACGCCCTAGAAAAAAGTTTATCGACCAAATTGGCGATATTTTGAAAATGGGCCACGTTAAAAGTACCCTTAACCGACGAGCATGTATGCGTAGATATATGGATGTAAAGGAGGCGAAAGAGGTATGTCAGGATCGTGTCAAATGGAAGTCCGTAGTCTCTGCCTACCCCTTTGAGTGACAGGCGTGAGTGTTTATGTATGTTATGTATGTAAGAAGAAGAAAGTAGCGCCGCCCTGGTGGCAGAAACATTCCTGTATAGTCATTGATCAAATATTACGGTTTTTACTTTTCTCATCCTTAAGTTTTCTTTATAATCAATTTACTACTAAAAATACAAAATTTTCCGTTTGTTATTAAGAAGTAATAAAAAAATATATAAAAATAAATGTTTATTATTAAAAAATAATAATTTTACGACCACAAAGATCCTCGAAATAGTGTAAATTATGATTAAGGGGATATAGTAAGTCAGCTCAAATTCTAATTTCGCCCCCACTTCCCCGCACGTCGTATGCTATATACCGACATGTTTGTAATCACTAATACTGTAAGTAGATAGGTCGTTAGATACTTATTTCATTAGGTTTATCATATTTATGCCTGTTTCTTAAGGGCATAGAGTAAGTCAGCTCAAATTCTAATGTCGTCCTCACTTCCCCGCGCGTCGTATGCTATGTACCGACATGTTTGTAATCACTAATACTGTAAGTAGATAGGTCGTTAGATACTTATTTCATTAAGTTTATCATATTTATGCCTGTTTCTTAAGGGCATAGAGTAAGTCAGCTCAAATTCTAATTTAGTCCCCACTTCCCCGCGCGTCGTATGCTATATACCGACATGTTTGTAATCACTAATACTGTAAGTAGATAGGTCGTTAGATACTTATTTCATTAGGTTTATCATATTTATGCCTGTTTCTTAAGGGCATAGTGTAAGTCAGCTCAAATTCTAATTTCGTCCCCACTTCCCCGCGCGTCGTATGCTATGTACCGACATGTTTGTAATCACTAATACTGTAAGTAGATAGGTCGTTAGATACTTATTTCATTAGGTTTATCATATTTATGCCTGTTTCTTAATGCCAAGCCAGTCGCTTGTTATTTTTATTACGGTTATTTCCCATTTTAATTTTACGTCGTCCTGTTACGTAATGTATATTCTGATCGTAAGCGACACAACCTCCCCGTTCAAAGGCCGAAGCGAAGTGACCGTGCGGCAGGAATCACGCTTCAAAAGGCCGATAGTTTAGGTAATTTCTTTTTACAGTGAAAATAATGGTATTTTAAAAAAAGTAAATAACTTTTTTTTTTGCGCCCGAAGCAATTAAAGGGCTACCCTATACGTAGGGAGGCGGAAAATGCATTACGCATACCACGATAGCCGGTCTATCGTGGTTATG